GTCAGTTCATCGGGCGCATCTGGAGTCATTGAAAACAGTAATAGGAAGTCAGACAAACCCGCTTGATGCAAAAATTCAGGAGGACATTCGGTTTTTAAGGAAACAGTGCTGAGGTAAGACCAGGCTGGAGCTCTTTGGAACCTGAGACTAGGAGGTAAATATGGAAAAAGAAACAATAATTTAGGGGGAGGGAAAAGAGATCGCCTGTGAAGACAACTCATGCATACACCAGGTCCTGGAGAAGGAAATGAGACTGGAAAGAGATCAGAATTTTATTTTTATTTCATTATTTTATTCATCTATTTATTTTGAGACAGTGTCTTGCTCTGTCACTCAGGCTGGAGTGCAGTGGCACAATCTCAGCTCACTGCAGCCTCGACCTCCCAGGCTCAAGCAATCCTCCCACCTCAGCCTCTGGAGTACCTGCACCCACAATGCCGGGCTGCTTTTTTTTTTAATTGTTTTGTAGAGACAGGGTGTCGCTATGTTACCCAGACTGGTCTCAAACTTCTGAGCTCAAGCGATCTTCCCACCTCAGCCTCCCAAAGTGCTGGGATTACAGATGTAAGAGATCAGAGTTTTTGAGTCTGAAGGACCCTTACCTAGTTTGCAGTAACCCTCCCGTTTTACCGAGGAGGAAAAAAAGGGGAAGCAGAAAGGGAACAGAACTTGCCCAGAGCTATCCAACGAGTTACTGGCAAAGCCCCAACTGGAACCAGTCCACAGCTCTTCCCAACCTTTGATTTGAGGTTGTAAATTAAAGCAGGAGGAGGAAGGATTTTGACAGTGGGGAAAAAAAGGAAAAGTGGCTTATGATGGAGAGATAGGATTTGTTATCTGGAAGCCTGAGTAGCATCTTGATGTAAGGAGGGAGTCGTTTTTTAAGAGAAGCAGAAATCAGAATGGAAAAGCAGAGGGCTGATTCTTGAATCAAAACATCACTGAGCAGAGAGATGAGTCAAGAGCGGTCACAATTTAAATGCTAAGGGAACCAGGCAGGTGATGTGAATGATAAACACTTGCTTAGCACTTATTTTGTGCTGGGCTGTGTTCTGAGGGTTTTACATACATTGATTCATTTAATCATTTAATCCAACAATTCTGCCAGATGAATCCTGTTAAAATCTACATGTTACAAGTGAGGAAACTAGGGAAACCTGGAGAGGGGAAGTAATTTGCCCACAGTCACACGGCTGGCAAGTGGTGGAGGCCAAATTAAACTCAGGAAGGCTGACTCAGCACACGGTCTTAACCACTGTGTTATATGCACCTCCCAGGTGAGTGTAGCAGGGAGAGCACGGCCAGGAATGGACTGGAGAACAATTGTTCAGTGTTAAAGGGGAAAGTTAATATCTGCCATGTGTTGTCAGATCTAATTTATTAAAAAGTAACTGGGAGTTCAGACTTTTATGTGAGGATCCTGATTTTTAAACATTGCAACTAATTAAAGTCTGTATGCAGGTTTCTTAATGCAGGCTAAATAAAACCCCTTGCATTTTAATTGCCTCACAAAGCCACTAATTTGCAAACTTTAGACTATCTTTGAAACGAGGAAGCAATTCCCTAGTGAGGGAAGGGCCTGGCCCAGAAATACCTAGAAAATGGGAGGCAAAGACCAAGCCTTTGGACTGCTGGCCGTCCACTCACTGAAGAATCTAGGACCCTTCCTTTGAACTGGCTTCAATACAAGTTGTATGGGTTTCCTGTTGCTTTCATAAGAATAACTACAACTTTAGCAGCTTTTTTGTTGTTTGTTTTGAGACCAAGTCTCGCTCTGTCCTCAGACTGGAGTGCAGTGGTACAATCTCAGCTCACTGCAACCTCTGTCTCCTGGGTTCAAGCTGTTCTCATTCCTCAGCCTCCCGAGTGCCACCACGTCTGGCTAATTTTTAAAAAATATTTTTAGTAGAGACAGGGTTTTGCCATGTTGCCCAGACTGGCCTGGAACTCCTGCCTTGTGTGATCCACCTGCCTTGGCCTCCCAAAGTGCTGGGATTACAGGCATGAGCCACTGGGCCCAGCCCAACTTTAGCAGCTTTTGAAGTAACACTCATGTGTGATCTCACAGAAGGTCAAAAGTTCCAGCATAGTGTGGTTCCTCTGGTTTTCTGCTCCAGCTTTTACAAGGCCTGAATCACAGTGTCAGCAGGGGTATGTTGCTTTCTCGAATCCCTTTGGATGAACCATTTCCAATCACATTCAGAATCAGTTCCACGCTTTGTAGTAGTGAGGTCTGCATTCCCTTGCTCGCTGTCTGCTGGGGTCATTGTCAGCTTCTAGGAGCTGCCCTCATGGGCTTGTGGGTTCGTTCCTTCATCTTCAAAGCAAACAATGGTGAGTCAAATCCTTCTTATGCTTCACATCTCTCTGACCTCCACTTCTGGCTCGTCTGTTCCCTTTCTTCCTCCTGAATCTCTCTGACTTTTCTGCTTTGAAAGTTTCATGTGATTACATTACATTCACTCAGATAGTCCAGGATGATCTCCTCAATTTAAGATCAGCAGATTAGTCACCTTCACTCCATCAGCAAAGTCCCTTCACTGAAGCACGTACATTAATGTTTAATTGAATAACCAGGGCACAGGAATCTTGGAATGGGAGACATCTTTAGAATTTTGCCTACGACACAAGTCCAGGGGGAAGACATTTGCAACTCACATTGTGCGTAACTACATGCTTTTCCCACTGTCTCTCTCGAACCTTGTGAGGTAGACAGGACAGGTTGATTTATCATATTTTATACATGAGGCATGGGACTCAGGAGAAGAGGCTTGAACCATGATGACACAGCAGTTCTGAAGGCAGCCTGGCATACCAGAAAGGACACTGGGTTTGGAGTCCAGGGACCTACATGATGACTTCAGGATGTCAATTTCTTGGCCCTGTGAGCCTGACCAGTTCCTCTGCTGTTCTGGGCCTCAGTTTCTTTATCTGTGAAGTGATGCATTGAGAACTACATCACAGTGCTGTTGTGAGATTAAGAATAATAAAATATGTGAAGCATGTGAATCTCCAGTGCACAGTACATGGGCCACCATGACTGTTGAGTATTTATTTATTTATTTATTTATTTATTTATTTATATTAAGGTATCTGCAGAGCCACAGTTAGAACTCAGATTTATTTATTTATACCTCTCTCTCTTTCTCTTTCTGTCTCTCTCTCTCTCTCCCTCCCCTTCCCGCTCCCCCCAGGCTGGAGTGCAGTGGCACGATCTCTGCTCCCTGCAGCCACTGCCTCCGGGGTTCAAGTGATTCTCATACCTCAGCCTCCTGGGTAGTTGGGACTACAGGCCCATGCCACCACACCTGGCTAGTTTTTGCATTTTAAGTAGAGAAGGGGTTTTGCCATGTTGGCTAGGCTGGTCTCGAACTCCTGGCCTCAAGTGATCTGCCCGCCTTGGCCTCCCAAAGTGCTGGGATTACAGGTGTGAGCCTCCATGCCTGGCCAAAATCCCAAATTTCTTGGTTCCAAATCTTTCATTTGATAAAGATTTATTATGCACCAGCTGTGTTCCAGATTGTGTGTTGGGTACTAGAGACACAAAAGTGACTCAGATTTGACTTTGAAAGGTAGACTCCATTATGTCACACAAAGGTACCTTGGGCATGACACACAAAGGCCACCCAGGAGTGGTACACAAAGGTGATTCCAACATGACACGCAAAAGATATTTGGATATGGCTAATTTTCTCAAGGAACTCACATCCTGGTCAGAATAGATACAGAGTTACTTCCCTGCGTACTGTGAAGTGGCAGAAGCTGACCAAGGAGGAGAGAGAGAGAAACAGAGGGGAGGTAGGGTTAGGTAGTATTTCTAGCAGTCTGCTAATAATCTGTCAAATTTGAGAGTTTATTTTGACAGTGAAGTGAAGCCAACAGATGGTAACGAACAGGGAACTGACGTGATTGATTTATAATTTAAAAGGATGTCATGTGGATATGGAAATGTGAAGGGGCAATGGTGGAAATATCACTGGAACAATGGAGTCATGGAAATTCTACTGTCCTTCCTCAGCTGCAGAGCCCCCTGCATAGTCCCCTTGTCATCTTCCTCTAAAAGTTTTCTAAGAGTCCCCAAGGAGTGTCCTGTCTCTTCACAGACAGGCCCCCTTCATCTGGTTCCTGCAAGCATGGGACCTTTACTTTTTTTGTGGCAGGGACGGAGTCTTGCTCTGTCACCCAGGCTGGAGTGCAGTGGCATGATCTCGGCTCACTGCCACCTCTGCCTCCCCGGTTCAAGCAGTTCTTCCACCTTAGCCCCCCCAGTAGCTGGGACTACAGGCACGTGCCATCACACCTGGCTAATTTTTGTATTTTTAGTAGAGATGGGGTTTCTCCATGCTGCCCAGGCTGACCTTAAACTCCTAGGCTCCAGCAATCTGCCCTCCTCGGCCTCCCAAAATGCTGGGATTCTAGCCATAGGCCACCGCGCCTGGCCTAGAAGTTCACTTTTGGCTAGATTCCCTGGTAAGGCATTTGGTCAGTTTTCCAACTAGCACGACAATCAAATGGAGAAGAGATACGGCGGCGGGCTGCGTGGGGTTGTTGCAACAGCTCCACAGGGTCCTCCGAAAACCAGGCTCTCCATGTTGTTGTCAGCGACATCCCCAGATCTCCAGCTTTCATCCTCACAGTTGTCTCATAGTTGCCAGGTGGCTGCACCATCTCCAGCATCACATTCATCTTCCAGGAAGGAAGAAGGGGAAGGTGAGGAGGAGGAAATGGTGGTGCCGGTGTCAGAAAAGAAGAACTCCCAAAACTCCCCAGCAGATAGCCTCTTAAGTTTGGTATTTTAAGTAGACAAGTCTCTCAAAATGCGTGCTCAGTAATAAATCTAGCAGAGTTAAAGGTTTTTATTATGTATTTATTTATTTATTTTTGAGACGGAGTTTCACTCTTGTTGCCCAGGCTGGAGTGCAATGGTGCAATCTCGGCTCACTGCAACCTCCGCCTCCCGGGTTCAAGCGATTCTCCTGCCTCAGCCTCCCCAGTAGCTGGGATTACAGGCACCTGCCACCATGCCCAGCTATATATATTTATATATGTGTGTGTGTGTATATATATATGTATATGTGTGTGTGTGTATATATATGTGTGTATATATATATTTGTGTGTGTGTGTGTATGTTTTTAGTAGAGACAGGGTTTTACCATGTTGGCCAGGCTGATCTCAAACTCCTGACCTCACGTGATCCACCTGCTTTGGCCTCCCAAAGTGCTGGGATTACAGGCATGAGCCACTGTGCCTGGCCAGGTTTTATTTATTTATTTATTTATTTTTTCTGCATTGTTCATGAGAGAGAAGAGTACCGTCCTACAGATTGGTATACAGTTTAGGAAAACAGAGATGTCAATTACAATGTTATTATTACCAGAGCAAGAAATCATCAGGTAAGACAGCCCGTCAGAATTCCATTTTATGTGGGGATCATTTTCATGAGACATGGAATAATTTCTAACATCTTTGGAGTCTCATAAGACCATTTTGTTTAAATTGTTCTTCCAAGGGCAGATTCATATTAGCAAAGACTAGAACAAGTCAGCAACCGTCATGAATATTCATACAAAACTGTATATTGCAGAGGAGAACATAAATGCCATTCTTATAAACAGTCTCAGTTTTGCACAACATCAAATCAAATTCCTTGAACCATTTTATAACACAGAACAGTATCTTTTGATTCAGTGCTGCAGGGGCAGGAAACATGTCCTTCAACTCTTTCTGAGAGTCATGTACTTTATTATGAAAACTTATGTTTTTAAAACCAACTCCTGGAATTTTATTAGCTAGTATTACATGAAAAAAAAAAAAAAAAAAAAAAGGGCGGGGGGTGAGAAAAGCTGAGTAGGCTTTTATTCACTGATAATAATTTGATAACATTTTTCTTCTCCTTGACTCACTGGCCAGAACTCAAAAAAAAAAAGCGGTGGAGGGGTGGGGGGAGAAAAGCTGAGTAGGCTTTTATTCGCTGATAATAATTTGATAACATTTTTCTTCTCCTTGGCTCACTGGCCAGAACTCTGCCATATGGCCACCCCAGATGAGGCAAGAAAACAGAGATACTATTTTTCAAATTGGTGGCTTGGTCACCTGAACAAATTTGAAATAGTAAGGAGGAAACAGAGGTTGGATATCACGTAGGCAACTCTCAGGGTTTACCTGAGACATTGCCCTAGAGGAGATGGATAGCTAGGGCTGCTGAAGAGAGTCGGAGAGAGGAGGCTTCTTTCTGGTTGTGAGATCCAGGAGAGAACTTCCAGGAGGAGGTTACATTTGACCTGGACTTGGAGAGAGAGAGAGGGTTTGAATGTGGGCAGAGGACAGAGCTGCAGAAGGACGCCATGACACGGGGAGTGGCCTGAGGAAACAGGCAGAGGAAGGATGTGTGGAGCATCTGTGGAAAGGATCCCTATTTCGGCCGGTGCAGTGGCTCCCGCCTGTAATCCTGGCACTTTGGGAGGCCAAGGCGGGCAGATCACCCGAGGTCAGGAGTTCGAGACCAGCCTGGCCACCATGGCGAAACCCCGTCTCTACCAAAAATACAAAAATTAGCTGTGCGTGCTGGCAGGCACCTTTAGTCCTAGCTACTTGGGAGGCTGAGGCGGGAGAATCGCTTGAACCTGGGAGGCAGAGATTGCAGTGAGCTGAGATTGCGCCATTGCACTCCAGCCTGGGTGACAGAGCAAGACTGTCTCAAAAAGGGAAAAAAAAAATCTTTTTTTTTTTGGTATGGAAAGAATGACAGGGTGCAGGCATGGGGAATATCGAGGTAAGGGAAAAGCGGGGCAAAATCAGGGAGGGCTTGAATGAAAGGCAAGGGAGTTTGGAATGTACTCTGTCCGCCCCTGAAATGTTGTTTATTTCTCGAATATCTCTCTTAAATATATCACCTTCTCTCTGTCCCCCATAGCTACCGTTCCAGCTCAGATTTCATCGTCTTTCTCCTGGACTGTTGTTTCCTCCTCAGTGCAGACCCAGAGGGATCTTTAGAACACCCAAACCCGTTCTCCCACAGTTCAAAACCGTTCCATAATTTCCCTGAGCTCCCCCATTGACATGGGAGGGAGTCCGAGCTCCTCAGCCTGGCATTTGAGACTCTTTGAAGAGGAAGTGGAGTGGGAATGCAGACTGGAGAGAGGAAAGCAAACATGGTGTTGAGGCTTCACAAAGAGTTTGGGGACAACCCCTGTTCTTTTGTCTTTGAGGCAGGGTCTCACTGTGTTGCCCAGGCTGGAGTACCGTGTTGTGACCACAGCTCACTACAGCGTCAACCTCTCAGGCACAAGAGATCCTCCCACCTCAGCTTCCTGAGTAGCTGGAACTACAGGCATGTACCATTACACCCGACTAAT